AGCTCCATTTTACCAAGATGACACTCCTACCCACAAAGTGGCCCACAGTCTGGGCTACAGCGCCATGGTGGTGAGAGGGATGTGGACACATGGTGTGTGGCCCCACCACGCAGGCCAGGCGGGGCCATGCAGAAGCAGCCCACCAGAGGCTGGGTAGGACCCAAGCCTGCCCTGTGCAGAGGCTGTCACGTGGAGCAGTCACTGGTGGGGAGGAAAGCCCATGCACAATGGAAACTCCTCACAACACAATGTGGAAAAGCAATTTTGAGAGTCATTTTTACTTTAATTTTGAAGCCAAGGAAAACAGTTGGATTTGCTTTTCTTTTTGGTCAAAGGAAGAAACTGAGGAGCAGGGCTTTGATTGGAGCTGAGCTCTTCTCCAGGCCTAAGATGATTGGGATGCTGGGGGTTATTTCTCTTGGGATGCAATTAGCTGAATAAATATCAAGAGAGTAAGAGTAAACACACTCATTACTGCCCATTCAGAACTGCCAAACTAGCAAAAGATGAGGGGGTCGAAATCTTTAAGGAAAATTAATCCCTTGGAGGCCAAAGGCTGCAGAGGAAGCATAGTCCTTGGTATGAGGCTGCCTGGTGTTCCAGCTGGGTCAGCTCAGGCGCTTACCTGTCCATGTGTCCCTGGGCAAGTCATTGGGCCTTTCTGGGGTTCAGTGCCTCCATTGGTCAAATGGGGGAATAACAACCCTTCTGGTTTACCAGCAACAACATGTCAGGTTCCCAGCACAGTGCTCCGTCCCTTCCCTTCCTTTCTTCCTGCAAGTCAATAGGCTCTAAGTCACTCAAAGTCCACGCCCTATGGAGATGGAACAGTGATACCCAGAATGATTGTGCAGCTCAAAGACTGACCCCACAACTAGCTGTGTGCCTCTGAGCCGGTTACCTGACACCTTTTTGAGTTTCGGTTTCCTCATTCTCAAAATGTGCACAATCCTAATAACTATCTCTGCATGTTGGAGTAAGTAAATAAGTTGCTATGTCCACAAAAGGCCTTGAGAACCTGAAACCCAGCATGAGTTTGGTTTACTTTTTAATCTAATAATTGCAAGAAATGCTCTTTCCAGATACTGCGGTCTATGATCACACACGTCTCTGGCCTCCCTTCCATGAGTCGGCTCTGGGGAGGGTGCAAGGGATGGCTGGGACCTGGGATAACCAGTGGCTGCTTGTGGGTTGGGAGGCTCTGTAACCTATGTCAAGGTCCCCTTTGTGAAATGTGGTAGCGGTACTATTGCTCATGGGGCAACTATAACCATTTAAGGAGGTGGTAAAAGTATCCAATCCACTTCCTGTCCTGTCCTTAGTGCTCCCTACTGTAGTCTGTACTGTTACCATTGTTTGGTTCTTTTTTTTGGTACCGGGGATCAAACTCTGGTCCTTGCGCTTGTGAGGCAGGCAGCAGAACCAGAGCTAAATCCCTGGCCCTGGTTCTTCTTGTTATCATGTGGCTACCAGGTTATTCCAATCTCTAGTTTCTGAAGTCTTCCATGGTGTTTACCTACATGGATCACCCTATTCACAGAGGAGGCTCAGCCTTCAGGATCTCAGGGTCAAGGGTAAGAGCTCTCCCAGGAGACTGAGAACCCATGCTTGTGAGGGGGGCCAGAACTCCACAGTAAACAGTGCAGCCTCCAGGGTCTGGAAGCCTGGGAAGGTTTAGAAATCAACCCTTTTCCTGGAGCCAGGTTGCCTTCCTGGGCCTCTGGCAAAGTCTTGGCCAATGGCAGAGGCCAGGCCCTCGTGGTACAGAGGTGTTTGTCACCAGCCATAGCAGGTGAGGAGCCCATGGAAAGCAGAGGCAGGCAGGCAGGCCCACCCTAGCCTGGAGCCCAGCTCCTCCCTATTGTTGTTCTGGGGCAGGCGTGGCCACCCACACAGGAGCAGCCAAAGTGCTTTGGAAACGAGGCAAACACTCCCAAACGCTGCCTGGTTTCCACTGACATCACTGCAGCCCTACCTCCCAGCAGAGCCCCAAACTCAAGCCAGAAGCTCTCAGACACCTCTCTGCCTACCCGAAAGGCCCGAGCTGCCCACTGGAAGCACACTAGGGCTTTGGCATTCAGGGAAACATAGCTCACTCAGCAAAGGGTCTGCTCTGTATCTGCACAATGGCTAGCACCAGGTGGAGACCAGGGGCTCCTTGGGGAAGCACCCCAGCACAAGGAAGGATAAACCTTTCAGTCCTGTGCCATGGCTAGTATTTTAGCACAGATGAATGTGAAACCAGAAAAAGATCATGTTAATGCTTTTTCTTCTTTTACTACTAAGCCAGATTAAGCTCATTTTTGTGCAGTCAGTCATGAGAGTTTGAAGGTCTGTGTCCCTCAGACCAGGGGTGGGTCTTGGTTGCGCCATCTTTTATATTTGTGACTTTGGGCAAATCATTTAGTCTCTCTGAGTCTCAGTTTCCTCCTCTGTAAAACAGAAATAACAATAGTGCCTACCATCAAAGGACAGTCATATGACTACAGGAAAGCAGCCCAGGCCAGGTAGATGGTGGCACCAGACAATGGATGTTACTGATTTCCTAGATTCCATAGCTCTCCTTGACACAGCTCTGCCCCTCAGAGAGTCCTTGTCATGGGCTCCCCAGTTCCTCAGATCCCCCTTCACAGCATTCCCCACTGCATCACAACTGTCAGGTACTTCATTCTGTCAACAAACATCTGAGCACCTGTCCATTCCAGGCCACATGCTAAGCACTGCACATGGAGCAGAGTTCATCACTGCCCTCACAGAGAACTCCATGGGGCAAAGTAATGGCATGCATCTGATGGTGACTAGGAGGGAAAGATAGGTCACAATCTTACCTAAGCAGGGAGGGTCTCTCTGAGAAGGTGATATTTCAGTAAAGACCCGAAAGAGGCCAGGGTGTGAGCCATGGAGAGGGGGGCAGAACATTCTGCACAGAAAACAGCAAGAACAAAGGCCCTGAGCTATAAGTGTGCTTGGTGAGATTGAACGGCCAGAGGGCAGTGTGTGGAGGCACTGTCTGAGGAGGGAGGACAGGGGAGCAGAGGTAGGTCATGGAGGGCCTGAGAGAGTCATTAACTTTCACTCCAAGATGGGGAGCCACTATGGGGTTTTGAGTAAAAGAGCAATCCAATCTGAGCTTGGTAAAAGATCCCTCTGGCTGCTGAGTTGAGGACAGGATAGAGGGTGAGGAGGGGCAGGGCCAGGAGACCATTTAGGAAACACCTGCAATAGTCCAGGTGAAAGGTGAAGGTAGGCTGCACTAGGTTGGGGGTGGCAGAGCAAGTTGGGAATATTTCTAGGATGTTGCTATCATAAGTTGGTGAATTAGATGTGGGATATGAAAGACAGGAAGGAGTTGAGGACCACTTCACAGTGCTTGACTTGAGTAACTAGAATAGATTTGCCACTTACTCACATAGGAAAAAGTGGGAAAGCAGGTGGGGATGGAGGTATGGTAAAAAACAGGACCAAGTGGAGTATGAAATGCCCAGTGGAGAGTAAGGTGGAAATATAAAGGAAACGCTGAGTACATGAGTCTGGAGTCAAGCAGGGAGCCTATGGGGGGTGATCTGTGCCTAAAGTAAACCCAAGCCTGGAAGAGATCCAGAAGGCCAACAAGACCTGGAGACATTAAGAAATAATAACATGAAGGTGAACCAGCTGAGGAGGCTGGGCTGGACCAGCCAGGGACTGGAAGTGGCCATTTGATGTTGGCCACTTGTGACCTGGCTGGAGTGCCTGGAGTGGATGGGGAGTCAGGGGCTGACAGGGTAGGTTCAGCAGGGAATAGGAAGAGAGGAGCTTCCTGGAATCCTGAGTGTAGGCAACTTTTAGGGGAGTTTGCCAAAAAGGGGAGCAGAAAAATGGAACAGAGCAGGGTTGTGAGGTCAAGACATTTTCTGTACATTTCAAGAAACAGCACCAGGGATGTAGGGAGCCCTCGATGATGCAAGAGAGCCAGGACTGTCCTCAAAGGGCCAGAGGAGAAAACAGCGCACATCCTCCCTTCCTGCCTGGCCCATCTAACTCCTTCTCATCCCCCGAGGGTCAGTGTAAAGGTCACTTTCTCAGGGAAGCGCTTGTGACCCCTCCCACTAGGTCAGTTCCCTATGATACCCTCCAACCGCACAAGACACTTGTTTCCCAGTACTTGGGGGCCCTGTGATGCTAAGGAAGCCCTGTGAAGGCAAGGGTTGGCTCGGTCTTGTTTGCAGCTGTGTCCCCAGCAGCTGTCACCCGGCCTACCACACTATAATGTTCAATGCATAGCTGGGGAAGGGATGAATGGCCCAGGAATAGAACTGAAGCACGTCTGGAGACACGTGCCTGTCTTCTGCTCCAGTCTGATTTAATCATGTTGCAATGACAGGACTGTGCAGTCTCTGGCTGTTGCAAATGTTTGGATTTAGAAGAGCGTGGTTGTTTGTTCCTGTTTGGGGCTCTGTACTTAGGCTAACACAGAAACTAGAGCCATGTGACCGGACACATCCTTCTATTGACATTGTCCACTACACACTGAACACATTCCATACTGTGTCTAGCAATTCATTAGTTTAACAAACATTTGCAGAAAGCCTGCTCCATGCCATCTTCTGGAGATACAAGATTAAGTCAGATCCAGGACCCGTCCCCCACAGCAAAGTGTGGGGGCGCAGCAAAGGAGAACCCACTGCAGGTGCTACACGAGGACAGCTCAGGCATTAGCAGAGTATAGAATGAGTAGATGCAAAGGTCTTAGGCTTTGGGAGTGGCAGGGCCACAGCTCTGACCTCCAGACTCCCGGGGCCTCCCTTCTCTTCTCTATCTCTTCTGTGGCCCACTATCTCCTTCTGAGGCTTCTAAAACAGCTGCTCCCTCACCACCCCCCACCCCTCCAGGAGAACAGACTGTATCCTCCCAGAGCTGCATTAGGAGAACACTCTGCCTGACAAGAAGGATGGGATCATGATGGCACAGGCCACAGGAAGGGATGACCTTCACCGATTCTCCCCTCTGTTTACTTTCAGGCTTTCATAGATTCCATCTGCAAAAAGTAACTACCGCATTGCAAGGACCATGCGGCCACTGTGCATGGCGTGCTGGTGGCTGGGACTGCTGGCCACACTGGGAGCTGCTGCAGGCCCAGAGGATGGCTTTGAGGGCACTGAGGAGGCCTCACAGAGTGAGTTCATTTACCTCAACAGGTACAAGCGGGCAGGTGAGTCCCCGGACAAGTGTACCTACACTTTCATCGTACCCCAGCAGCGGGTCACCGGCGCCATCTGTGTCAACTCCAAAGAGCCTGAGGTTCTCCTGGAGAACCGTGTGCACAAACAGGAGCTGGAGCTGCTCAACAATGAGCTGCTGAAGCAGAAGCGGCAGATCGAGACGCTGCAACAGCTGGTGGAGGTGGATGGCGGCATCGTGAGCGAGGTGAAGCTGCTGCGCAAGGAGAGCCGAAACATGAACTCGCGTGTCACACAGCTCTACATGCAGCTCCTGCATGAGATCATCCGAAAGCGGGACAATGCGCTGGAGCTCTCCCAGCTGGAGAACAGGATCTTGAACCAGACAGCTGACATGCTGCAGCTGGCCAGCAAGTACAAAGACCTGGAGCACAAGTACCAGCACCTGGCCACATTGGCCCATAATCAGTCAGAGGTCATCGCACAGCTTGAGGAGCACTGCCAGCGGGTTCCCGCCGCTAGGCCCATGCCCCAGCCACCCCCTGTCACCCCACCCCGGGTTTACCAGCCACCCACTTACAACCGTATCACCAACCAGATCTCCACCAACGAGATCCAGAGTGACCAGAATCTGAAGGTGCTGCCGCCACCTTTGCCCACCATGCCTGCCCTCACCAGCCTCCCATCCTCCACAGACAAGCCATCGGGTAAGTTCTTCCAGGATCCTGTCCCATGTGGACCTCTGACCCAGGCACCAGGTGTCCCTTGGCTGTGAGCACAAGCAGGGGAAGAGACACTGCCAGTTGAGGCTAGGGCAGAGGTTTGTGCAGTCTCCTAGTAATCCCTTGGGTCAGCCATTGGAGCCAGTGGGGTGAGAGGGGGACTACATTGCTTAGAAGGATGCTTGAAGGTAGAACCAAGAAACAGGAGTCTCAGGAGAGGGCCAGCATTCACTGGCTTCTGAAAGAAAAGAACAGAGCCCCATATTTTTGCGGGCTCTGCATGAGATGCTCAGTATCGGCTGCTACGATATCACTGCTGAAGGCTTGTGCCCTATGCAGGTCCTGGAGCTGGAACTCTGTAAATATCACCCAACAGGCAATAGGCCAGGGGAAAGTAAAGCATTATCACATTAAAGGTATGTTACACGTCACAGGGATTGAAGAATCAGAAGGGCACTTCAGAAAGCCCACGAGTTTCCTAGGATTTGCTACTGCCTACAATTTTCAATGAGGCTTCCATTACTCTTACATACATGTTTCATCCTAAAATACAGCAAAACCATGATGGAGGAGGAATGGAGCCATGGCAAGCTGGGAAGCTTAACCAAGATACTGACACTGGGCATTTTGGGTATATGACCTTTATTATCCCAGTAGCTCCCTAGGGACAGGTTAAGTCATGTTCTCACAGGCTTGGAATCTGCAGGCTGCACTTGAATTCAGGCCTTGTCACTTTAAAACTTGAGCTGCCTCCTCTGTCCTTAAGGATTCTGGAAATCCTCAACTTTGGGGTGCAGGTGAGAGGCTCCCCTACCAGAGTGCCAGCCCAGCCTGGCCCCGGGAGCTCAGCCTCTTGCTTATCCAGGAGGCAACAGCCTTCCAAGTGGGCTGCCATGTGAGAACTAGATTCTCTCTGCCAAAGCTGCCCATGTGTCTGCTCTAAGTGCTGCGGGTACCACTTCACTGGAGAAGCAGGGAGATACAGTACTTTGAACGAAAATATCCTGTGTCACATTACTTCTCACTTTAAAAAATAACCACCAGTACCAGGAAGAGCAATTTCTTGCTAATTCTAGAGAGGACCTGAGCCTCGAGGCAGGACCATGGCCAGTGGGTGGCATTTTCCCATGGAGGGCAGCAGGGCCAGGGTTGGCTAGACAGAGGGCAGAGCATCTGGAAGGAAAGATGTGGACTGGGTGTGGGGTTTGAGAGTAGGTTCTTGGAGTAGACTGACTTGGGTTCAGATCCTGCTTCCTCCACTGATTAGCTCTGGGACCTTAGGCAAGTCACTTCGTCCCTCTGAATTTCAATTTCCTCACCTGAAGCTTCAGTTAGGTTCTATTTTGATCTTCTCCCAACTGACAGGTCTATGAAATGAAATACTGCAAAAAGTGTGCTTAGCAGAGTGCTGAGCCCATGGTAAGCTGGGTCCCCTTTAATCTTGATCTTTTCATGTGAAAACAAGGACAGTGAAATAAACAAACAATCCTTCTTCAGCTGTGACATTCAATGGCTGATTGCTGGCGGTCTGTACCACACCTGCTTTGCTTCAGAGGCCCTGACAGGGTGGGGTGTGTTGTCTCCACAGAATACCCAGAGGGAAAAACATGAAGGCCCAGCTGAATGTGGTTCTAATCCTGACATGAGTCAGGTGGGTCTCAGTGGTTACCCAGCAGATCTCCTCTTGCCTAAACATCTCTGGTTTCAAGCTCAACAACTTCAGGACATTTCTGAGCTTGAATTCAGCTGGTAGATACAGCATGTAAGACTAAAGACCTGAGTTTGCAACCAGGTCCCATCCCGCTGGATGTTTGCTCATGAGAAAGTTATTTAACTCCTCTGAGTCTCAACTTTCTCTCTGCAGAATGGGGACAGAGCTATAACCTCACAAAACTGTCACAGAAATTCATTCAAGCATGTAATATTTTTTCACATGATGTAGCCAACCCTGGCTGAGCCCTACTTCATGCTGGTCACAGTGCTAGCCTTGGGAGGGGAGGTTGAAAACTATGGTCTCTGATTTCCTGGAACTCAGTAGGTCCTTGATGGAGATGGGTCTGGGCAAAGACCCAAGAGCATGCTGCTGGCCTTTCAAGTGGTCCAGATTCCTGCTTCTTCATGGTCCAGTGTGAGCTGTAGCACAGGCAAAGGAGCCTAGGGGCTGTGTGACCAAGGCTCCTACACTCATCAGCCCTCTCCTAGTTAAGAAAGTAAATGGCATGGAAAGGAATGACCAAGGTTACATTGGGGAAATAACTTTTTTCCTTTAAACCATTCCCCTCAAATGTTGGTACCTGATCATTAGTGGCAGGTTTCTTGTGCCCTATCTCACCACTGAGCTCCCACAGAGCAGGGGCATCTGTAAGAAAGTCTTGCCCCTTCCTGGGGTTGCACTAAATTGGGAGGAAAAAGCAGGTGGCCTTGCCCTACTGAGCATGAGCTCAGCCAATGGCAGAGAGCTCTTATCAGGCCTCTTCTGAGCTGGACAGGTTCTGGTCCTGGAAGACAAAACCCTCTCTGTGCTCTCCCAGGAGCCTTTATTCCTGGGAAATCACTCCTAAACACCTTTGAAATGAAGCACTTTTGCACCCAGGCCTTGGCAGCCTCTCAGCTTTTCATCTAGCAACCCTAGACCCATTGCTCTGTTCCCCATTGTTTGAACTTCTCAGCCCACAGCACGTCCTTCCCCAGGGGACTAAGGTGGCCAGGCCCCTTAGCTGAAGCAACACTCTAGGCAGTACTCACTGCCTAGCCACAGCCAGATAGTGAGAGGCTGGCCCCAGGCCTGCTAGGAGCAGGGGCGGGGCAGCTCCTGGTTTCCCACCTGGGCTCTGATCTGTCTCAGGGCCGGCCAGACTGGGAGCATCTTGTTTTGGGTGATGTTTGTGATGAGACCACAGATCTATCCTCATGGGTCCTGCTGTTACTATTAAAGAGGGCAGCCATAGGGGCCACTCCGAGGGACAAAGGAAAAGACAGGACGGGCTCTGAGCTCACCCCAGGCAGACCCACCCACACCAGGCTCCTGTCACAATGCCTGTCCTAGAGACAGAGTGGGAAGAACACACAGCGTGCCATCAGCTGCACACTGAGGGTTTATTGGAAGTGCATCTTTAAAAGCCAGCGGGGGGCCGGGGATTTAGCTCAGTGGTTCCACTGCCTGCCTCGAAAGCACAAGGACCTGAGTTCAATCCCCGGTACCAAAAAAAAAAAAAAAAATCCAGCAGGAATGGTGACTTGTAGCCATTTAGCTGTTTTCTCTTCTGAGAAAGAGAACATGGCCAGCTTGGTTTGTTTCTTAGGGGATAAAGAAGGAGCCATAAAATCATAAACCAGTATAACTGTTAGGACCCCACAGATCCCCTGGCATAGGCTTCCTATCACTGAGCCTGTGCAAGCTGAGATTGGTCCTTGGGTTTGTAACTTACAGGATACTGAGATTCAGAGAGGTCAACCAAGTCAACCAAGATGACACAGCTAGTACATGGCTCAGTCAAGGCTCAAACAAACTCTTAACCACTCTGGAATTCTGCACATTTCCATGAAGAGGCTGGAGGGAAACTGGTATGAAAATCACTCTGAATGTGTGGCTTGGCACTTGCTGCCAGGGACCCGATCTTCAGTCACTGTTTCCTGGTATCAGGTTCCAAGCAGCCCCCTGAAAAAGAGCTCTGAGAACAGCTAATGGAAGCGTGACAGTGCAGACCCTGCTGTTGCATGCCCACCCAGGCCATGCGACCCTCCCTCAGTCTGCAGGACACACAGTGTTCCACAGAAGGCACCATCCTGACTCCTAGGAGGCTGGAGACTAATTTAAGGTTTAATTTCTACCCAGTCTTGACACATCTCTGAGGTTACTTCAATGCCGAACCAAGCCTGAGGTCCCTGTATCTTTTAAGGTTAGCTCTCCATCTACAAAATCTACAGCTGTGATCTTTCTTTGAGTGCTTCACCGATAGCGCAAGGCACATGTGGAAACATACTTTCCCTCCCTCACCACAAGTACCAGTGGCTGGGGACTCAAATAATGACACCGAGTGTTTCCCTAGGTAGATTTTCTCCCCTGTATTTGATCTCACCCTATTTCGGTAGGAAATATGTACAGTAGACAGTGATTCCCCAGCATAGCAGTAAGTTCACAATAGAGAATGAAATCTATGACCCTGAGGTTCCCATTCTTCCTGGGGGGCAGGCAAGCCTCAGTCCAGGCAAAAGATGCTGGTCCTGGGGACAGATGGATCATCTCTAGCAGCCTGCGCTCCCAGGCCTGAGCTGGGAGAGGTATGATGCTAAGGGTGAGTGGGGTTGATTGTGCCTGCCCAGATTCAGATTCTTCCTTCAAGGCTGCAGTGGCTGAGGAGAAAGCCACACAGGTCTCCTGCCTCTGGAGTGTGCTCTGTTCTCACAGTACCATGCTTTCTTTTTTCTAAAATAATTTGTTAAACAAAATAGGATTCTCGAATTCATTGCAAACTACGTAATGCAGTAATGTTTCAAAGAGCATTCATTATGTTAGCTTCTTCTGAAACAAAAGCCACTCAAGGAGAACAGTTCTGGGAGACAGTCTTCCTCCGTGCTCTGCTTTCCCTCCTCCTCTTCTGAGTTGGAGAAAGGATCCCAAAGAGCTTTTGAGTGAGATGGAAAGCTATCCCTCCATGCCTCAGGCTGTTTTCCAAGGATGACAGTGCGCTAAATGCCCTTTTGCAGCCACTGGAGATTATCAATTTGTTACTGTTAGAAGCCTGGAGATGTGGAATCTCATAGCCCAGAAATCCCAACAGTCTGCACCTGGCAAACGGGGAGTAATGTAGAAAATCCTGGAGATTGGTCATTTGTGGCCAGCTTGCTTGTCACACAAATGGAACACTGGGGCAAGTTATATATCATAACCCTGAAAGGCCACAAAAAACTTTCTTAAAAAACAAAGAAAGCAAAATTAAGTTAGCACCACACTGCTGAATGTCTAATACATGGCTGGTCGTTGC